TGCCAGTGCTAGCGAGGCTCCTGTAGGCCCCGCTGCAGACGCCCCAGTCGGACCTTGCACGCGCGCTCCCGTGGGGCCCGCTGCTGAGGCCCCGCGTGGCCTGGGTTCGGCTGGCGGCGCGAGCTTTGTGGATGGGCCTGCCTCGCTTCTCCCCTCGGGGTCCCTCGGGTCTCCTCCAAGCCTCGTTGCGGGAGCCCTGGGGGGAGCCCACGGCGGCGAGCGTGCGCCCGCCGATTTGTCCTGTTTTCGCAGTGCGGCCAGCAGTCTGGTTGCCTTGCAAGGTTGCGTTGTCTCGTCTCGCCGCTCGAGCTCGCCCGATCGGTCTTGGTCGGAGGCCCTCGATTGCCCCACTGGCCACAGCGCTGCGTCGTCGACCGCTGGTGATGGCACTGGGCCTCCAGGAGTGGCGAGCGGCGAGCACGTTCTCACGACCAGCTTTGGATATCGGATTTGCACGCGCTGTCACTGTTTTGCGAGAGCAATCGGAGGCAAGCACAGGGGTTTGTCCCGCTACGTGAGAGCGCTCGTGGTTTGCAGCATCGCCTCGAGAAGGTCGAAAGGATCAGGCTCGGGCTGCCGCCAAAGGCGGTGCAGCCGAAGGCGCAGGCTCGGTGAGGCGGCGGCGAGTCGGCCCTTTTGGGTTGCTCGCCCCTTTGCCGCTCGGCTCCCCTAGGCTTGCGCCTGCCGCCAGCCGCGGCCGCCAGCGTTGCGGCTGCTTGTGCCTGAATTCGTGCTGCGCGAGCCTGGTCACAGCTAGAAAATTGCCCCAGCGGCAGGGTTCGCATGCAGTTCCAAATTCATTTCGGCGCACCCCCCCCGCGGTTCATGGCCCCAAAGTGGGCTCATCCGAAGGCCCCAGCGGCAGGGTTCGCATGCAGTTCCACCCTCATCCCGGCGCACCCTTCACACGGTCCGTGGCCCCTTAGGGAGCTCCACCGAAGGCCCCAGCGGCAGGGTTCGCATGCAGTTCCAAATTCATTTCGGCGCACCCCTCACACGGTTCGTGGCCCCATAGGGAGCTCCACCGAAGGCCACAGCGGCAGGGTTTGCATGCAGTTCCACATACATTTCGGCGCACCCCTCACACGGTTCATGGCCGCATAGGAAACTCCATCAAAGGCCACAGCGACGTGGTTCGCGTGCAGTCTGCCCCCAGCGCGGTGTTTTTCTCACACGGTTCGTGGCTTCATAGGGAGTTCCACCGAAGGCCCTAGCAGCAGGGTTCGCACGCAGTTCCACCCCCATCTCGGCGCACACCTCACACGGCTAACGCCCCACAGACAGCTCCACCGAATGCCTCAGTGGCAGGGTTTGCATGCAGTGCCACTTTCATTTCGGCGCACCCCTCACACGGTTCGTGGTCCCATAGGGAGCTCCACCGAATGTTTCAGTGGCAGGGTTCGCATGCAGGTTCACAATCATTGCGGCGCACCTCTCACACGGTTCGTGGCCCCATAGAGAGTTCCATCGAAGGCCCAAAGGCAGGGTTCGCATGCTGTTCCACCTTCATATCGGCGCATCCTTCACACGGTTCGTGGCACCAGAAGGGGGCTCCACCGAAGCTCCCAGCGGCAGGGTTCGCATGCAGTTCCGCCCCGATTCCGGTGCCATTCTCACACGGTTCGTGGCCCCATAGGGAGCCCTGCCGCAAACCCCATTGGCAGGGCTTGCATGCAGTTCCACGTTCGCACGGCTCATGGTCCCATAGGGACTTCCACCGAAGGCGTCAGCGTCAAGGTTCGCATGCAGTTCCACCCTCATGTCGGCACATTCTCACACGGCTCGTGGCCCCATAGGGAGTTCCACCGAAGGCCCCAGTGGCAAGGTTCGCATGCAGTTCCACCACCATTTCGGCGCACCCTTCACACGGTTCGTGGCCCCATAGGGAGCTCCACCGAAGGCCCCCGCGGCAGGGTTCGCATGCGGTTCCCCGCGCGATTTCGGCACATTTTTCACGCACTTCGTGGCCTCAGGGAGAGTTCCACCGAAGGCCCCAGAGGCAGGGTTCGCATGGCGGCCCCGCCCCATTTCACCCCCTCACACGGTTCGTGGCCCCAAAGGGAGTTCCACCGAAGGCCCCATTGACAAAGCTCGCACGCGGTTCCTTGCTTCATTTTGGCACACCCGTCACACGGTCCGTGGCCCCGTAGGGAGTTCCACCGAATGCCCCAGTGACAGGATTCGCATGGCGGCCCCGCTCAATTTTGGCACACCTTTTCAAACGCTTCGTGGCCCCATAAGGAGCTCCACCCAAAGCCCCAGTGCACTGGCAGGGATCACATGGCGGCCCCGCCCCAGTGCGGCGCACCCCTCACACGCTTCGTGGCCCCATGGGGGACTCCACCGAAGGCCCCAGTGGCAGGGTTCGCATGGCGGCCCCACCTCATGCCGGCGCACCCCTCACACGCTTCGTGGCCTCATGGGGAGCTCCACCGAAGGCCCCAGTGGCAGGGTTCGCAAGCCTTCCTTTGCCGATTTAGACACACACACACCTCTCACAGGTCTTGCGGCCCATAATTAGGAAGCTCCGCCGAAGGCCCCAGTAGCAGCGCCAGCATGCGTACCACAGCCCACTTCGGCACACCCCGCACACGTGTCGGGGTTTCCATCCGCGTTGCCCCGTGTTCCATCCCTCTCGCGGCGCGTTGCTTACTGTATGATGAGAAGGTGTTTTCCTACGTTACTCGCAGCTGTATGCTGTTGGGCCCTCCACCAGGCTAATCTTTATTTGTCGTCCAAGATCCGCTTGTAGGAGGACATGCCCGACCTAATGCGAGGTGCGTGGTGCAACGTCGGCATGTGTACAGTGGAAACCCATGCCAAGAAACACCCTGCTTGCCTCCAGGGTGCCCTGGGTTTGTTGGGCTTCGATGGTTTTGCAATGGAAACCGTGACGTTCCCAGACCAAAAATCAATGGACGTCCTGGGGCTTCAGGATTGGATTTCTTGTGGAAGGTTCGTGTGGTCGAGCTCCTGCTGTGGTCTCAGAAGCAGAAGTGTCAACTCTCCAAAATCGTAGTTTGAGTGTTCTCCGTGCAGGTGGATCGGACGGGCGCGCCCTGGCGCCAGGCCTGTCGGAAGAAAAAGGAGGAGAAAGAGCAGGAAGAAGTGGAGGAGGAGGGGGAGGACCCGCCCATGCCAGGCAGCGAATGTGGTCATAGTCGAGCGCCGAAGCAACGCGACGCCCTCTGGTGGATTATCGTCTCAGATATGATGTTCACCATCACCACCATCGTCGTCATCATCAACAACATCAGCATCAATATCAACACCAACATCGCAATCGTCGTCATCATCGTCGTCGTAAGTATCAACACCAGCATCATCACCGTAATAATCGTCATCATCAGCACCACCTTCATCGCCACAATCGTCATCGCAACCACCATCCTCATAATGACAATTATCAACATCGTCGTCGTCATTTCCATCATCATCATCATCATCATCATCATCACCATCATCATCATCATCATCATCATCATCAGCAGCAGCAGCAGCAGCAGCAGCATCACCATCACCATCGTCGTCGTCGTCGTCGTTATCACCACCAGCATCAGCAGCATCATCAGCAGCATCGTCATCGTCATCGCCCTGCTCCTGCTCATCTTCCTCCTCCGCAGCCGTCTGGGCTCAGAGCCCGGGGGCCCGCCGCCCCGGCCCCAGGGACGGGCGGCCCCCCGCACATGCGCCCCGCGCGCGGGGGCTAGCCCCCCCTCCCTCCAGCTCCGCCCCCCCCCTCCTTGCTCGGGCCGGACGAAAGGGGGGGATTGGGAGAGGGGGGGGGTACGAAATCTGCTGCATGCAGCTGGTTTCGGCCCCACCGAGGGGCCCATTCCTCGATACATGGCCGCCTCTGGCGCTGGGAAAATCAGCTACGCGAGCGGATTCTCAAACCCCCCCTTTGCTATCCCCCCCTTTTGCCCCCCACCTCTTTGCCCAGACCTCGAAGTAGAGAAACGCCATGAACAGAAACTTTTGGCGCTCCGCGCGGATTTCTTGCATCCGCGCTGGGCCCCCCCGGCGGCGCCTCCGGCGCCGCCCCTGGCGCGCTCCGCGCGCCACGGAGGGGAGTCCAGCGCAGATCCAGGAAATCCGCGCGGAGCGCCAAAAGTCAATGTCAAAAAAGTTGTTTCTTCTTCTAAGACCTGCGACGTCGCGGCCTCGTCGATGCTGGCGCGGTTCTTCGCGGCCTCGGGCTCTTGTTGGGATCGCCACAGGGGCTGCAAGGGGAAGAGGGGGGCACAAGTGGATGCTAAGGTGGAGTAGATCTGGCGCAACCTGTCTTGTCAGCGGGTCACACATGACCCACATGGCCTTGGGGGGGGTTCACGATCTGGGCTAAATGAGCTCCGCCCACTTGGCGGCATTATCTAGCCCCTCTGAGCCACCTTCGGCACTTGTACCCCTTGTATGAGCCAGGCTGGGACAGATTTAAGCCACCTGAGCATCTACTTACACACCCCCTAGGCCATCCCTTTAGCAACACCCGCGGCCATCCAAGTGAGTGCTGCTTTTCCTGGCCCCTGGCACCGACGAGAAGAGCCAGCCCCAAGGAAGCGGCCGTCGGACGGGGCTAGGACGAGGATAAATTCGTCCCAGAGCGTGCTAGAATATTCTCAGAGCGTTCCGGAACGCTCTGAGAAGGCCGCGGCGCCCGAGACATTTTCCAGAGCCAGCGGATCTCACTTGGAGATACATCATCCATGCCATCCTCTATCTCCTCTCATCCTCCCTCCTCCCTTCCCTTCCCTTGCTCATCTCCCTGTTCAGGTGCGGGCGGGTGGGGCCGGGAGTGAGGGCGGCGGGCGCCGTCGGAGGGAGAGGCGCCCGAGGGATGCTCCGTAACGTGGCAACTGGCTCAACTCAGAGATTCTCGACTTACCCTCACCCGATTTGATCCTCGTCCTGGTTTCGTCTCAAGCTCCCGGGGAGCCCACGCGCTGTGAGAGTCACGACGTCGGAGGTCCCGGTCCTTCCCTCCTTCCTGGCGTCGCACGATGGCCGGCGCACAGGGGCCTGCGCCCCCCGCGGCGGTCGTCAACGTGCTAATCATCGTGGGCAAGGGCGACGAGCTGTTGTACGCTTAGCTGCCTCGATACGCCCGTCTTGAGACGCAACACGTACCATGATTGAAATGTCCGTGTCAACACGTTGCGTGTTGGCTCAGCGCACTGGCCCACGTGTTGGTCAACGTATCGCGTCAGACCGACGTGTTCGGTCTACGTGCTGAGCTGCGTAACAATACGCTGCGGGCGTCGCGTTGCGTATCGGGGCAGCGAAGGTTGTACGAGGCCGACCTGAGCAGCGCGGGTACCCGCGAGGACAGCCCCCACCTCGACCAGTTCGTGGTCCACGCAGCGCTGGACATCGTCGACGAGATGGTCTGGACCACGTCCTCGATGTTCCTGCGGGTCGTGGACAAGTACCAGGGCTTCAACGTGTCCGCGTTCTGCACCGCCGGCCACATCAGGTTCATGCTGCTCCACAGCAGCCGCAACGAGGAGGGCATCCGCGCGTTCTTCGGGGAGCTGCACGACCTCTACATCAAGGCGGTCATGAGCCCCTTCTGCCCGCCGAGCAGCCGCGTGGAGTCCCCCGTCTTCGACCACCGCGTGCGCCTCGCGGCCCGCAAGCACTTCCGGGCGTGAGGCCGCGCGGGCAGCTCCAGCACGCCCCTCCGCGCGCACCCCTCGCGGAGCCTCCGAGACGCCAGATGGCCCTCCCTGCTCCTCGTGCTCCTCCTGCTCCAGCCTGCCCCCCCCCCAGGAGCCTCCGACGACGGGATTTTTGCTCCAGCGGCGGGTCTTCCCCTGCACTTCGGCCCGTGGGGCCACTTCTATCGACCCCCTGGACCGTCAAAGACTTGGATCCGGGACGACAGGCTGCTTCCCGGGGAAGGCGGCGGTCGGGAGTTTGGGGCCCGCGGATTGGAATGAATCGTACAGTGGAGACCCATGCAAAGAAGCACCCTGCTTGCCTCCAGGGTGTCGTGGGTTTCTTGGGCTTCGATGGTTCTGCGATGGAAAGCGTGGCGTCCCCACACCAAAAAAAAATCGATGGACGTCCTGGCGTCTCTCAGGGCTGGGTTTCTTGCGGAAGGCTTCTTGGTGGCCGGGCTCCCAAACGGGGTGGTGACCACACCGTGCGGTGAGTCGGTGGGAGTTCGGGGTCGCCGCACGGTTTTGGGACGCGGGTCGTTCTCCGAGGACGTCTCGGGCGACAGGGGGCATCCGAGGTCCCAAAACCGTGCGTTGACGGACCCTGCGGTGAGGCCCTGGGGGATCTCGCGGCCACCGCACGGTCTGTCACCGCACCGTTTCGGGACTCCAAATTGTGGCCAGGCAATGATGATGATGATGATGATGATGATGATGATGATGATGCTGATGCTGATGCTGATGCTGATGCTGATGCTGATGCTGATGATGATGATGATGATGATGATATGATGATAATGTGATGATGATGGTGATGCTGATGGTGCTGATGATGATGATGATTGATGATGATGATGATGATGAGGATGATGATGCTGATGAGGATGCTGATGATGATGCTGATGCTGATGATTGGTGATGATGATGATATGATGATGATGTGATGATGATGACGATGATGATGATGATGATGATATGATGACGATGTGATGATGATGGTGCTGATGCTGATGATGATTGATGATGATGATGGTGCTGATGATGATGATGAGGATGATGATGCTGATGATGATGCTGATGCTGATCTGATGCTGATGATTGATGATGATGATGATGATGCTGATGCTGATGCTGATGATGATGCTGACGCTGATGCTGATGCTGACGCTGATGCTGCTGATGATGATGATGGTGACTGATGATGGTGATGATGATTGATGGTGATGATGATGATGCTGATGCTGATGCTGATGATGATGATGATTGATGATGATGATGCTGATGCTGATGATGATAATGATGCTGATGATGATGCTGATGCTGATAATGATAATGATGATGATGCTAATGATGATGCTGATGCTGATGATGATGATTGATGATGATGATTGATGGTGATGATGATGATGATGATGCTGATGCTGATGCTGATGATGATGCTGTTGCCGATGCTGATGCTGACGCTGATGCTGATGATGATGATGGTGATGATGATGCTGATGATGATTGATGATGATGATGCTGATGCTGATGATGATGATTGATGATGATGATGCTGATGATGATGATGCTGACGCTGATGATGATGCTGATGCTGATGATTGATGATGATGATGATGATGATGATGATGATGATGCCGATGCTGATGATGATGATGATGATGCTGATGATGATGCTGATGCTGATGCTGATGCTGATGCTGACGCTGATGCTGATGATGATGATGATGGTGATGATGATGCTGCTGCTGATGATGATTGATGATGATGATGATGATGATGATGATGATGATGATGATGCTGATGCTGATGCTGATGATGATGCTGATGCTGATGATGATGCTGATGATGATGAGGATGCTGAGGATGCTGATGATGATGCTGATGCTGATGATGGTGATGCTGATGCTGATGATTGGTGATGATGATGATGATGCTGATGGTGATGATGATGATGATGATGATGGTGATGCTGATGCTGATGCTGATGATGATGATGGTGATGATGCTGATGATGATGATTGATGATGATGATGCTGATGATGATGATGATTGATGAGGGTGATGCTGATGATGATGCTGATGATGATGATGCTGATGCTGATGATGATGCTGATGATGCTGCTGATGCTGATGCTGATGCTGATGATTGATGATGATGTTGATGCTGATGATGATGATGATGCTGATGATGATGCTGATGCTGACGCTGATGATGATGATGATGCTGATGATGATGATTAATGATGATGATGATGATGATGATGCTGATGATGATGCTGATGCTGATGATGATGGTGATTGATGATGATGATGCTGATGCTGATGCTGATGATGATGATGCTGATGATGATGCTGATGCCGATGCTGATGCTGACGCTGATGATGGTCATTGATGATGATGATGATGATGATGCTGACGCTGATGATGCTGCTGATGCTGATGCTGATGCTGATGCTGATGATTGGGGATGATGATGATGATGCTGATGATGCTGATGCTGATGATGATGATGATGAAGATGCTGATGATGCTGACGCTGACGCTGATGCTGATGCTGATGCTGATGCTGATGCTGATGCTGATGATTGATGATGGTGATGGTGATGCTGATGCTGATGATGATGATGCTGATGATGCTGATGCTGATGCTGATGCTGATGATTGATGATGATGATGATGCTGATGATGATGCTGATGATGCTGATGATGATGGTTGATGATGATGATGATGATGGTGATGATACTGATGATGATGCTGATGATGCTGATGATGATTATGATGATGATGCTGATGCTGATGCTGATGATGATGCTGATGATGATGCTGATGCTGATGCTGATGCTGATGCTGACGCTGATGCTGATGATGATGATGGTGATGATGATGCTGATGATGATGATGATGCTGATGCTGATGCTGATGCTGATGCTGATGATTGGGGATGATGATGATGCTGATGATGCTGATGCTGATGATGATGATGAAGATGCTGATGATGCTGACGCTGACGCTGATGCTGATGCTGATGCGGATGCTGATGATGGATGATGATGATGATGGTGATGCTGATGATGATGATGCTGATGATGCTGATGATGCTGATGCTGATGCTGATGATTGATGATGATGATGATGATGCTGATGATGATGCTGATGATGCTGATGATGATGGTTGATGATGATGATGGTGATGATACTGATGATGATGCTGATGATGCTGATGCTGATGATGATGATTATGATGATGATGCTGATGCTGATGCTGATGATGATGCTGATGATGATGCTGATGCTGATGCTGATGCTGATGCTGACGCTGATGCTGATGATGATGATGATGATGATGGTGATGATGATGCTGATGATGATGATGATGCTGATGCTGATGCTGATGATGATGATGCGACCAGGTCTCTTGTGGGAGGCTCCGTGTGGCCGGGCCCCTGCTGCCTCATGGGGAGGTCTGGGCCTCCTCCTCCCCCCGGCGGCGCGGCGGCCCTGGCAGCAGCGCGGCGCCGGGCCGCGCGCGAGGGCAGCGCACATGGCAGCCGGGCGGCGCCCGGCGTGCCCCGGAGCAGGCGCACCCCGGAGTTTTGAGTCGGGCCTGTCCTTCTGCAGGAGGCATCTCCAGAAATACTTTTGGAGTCTGGGGACGATGTCTGACTAGTTTGGGCTACTTTGGGGCACCTGTTTTTTGACTACGTTTCGTCTGTCTTCCGAAATCCGCCTGCAGGAGGACATGCCCGACCTGAACCCTGGAGGGAGGTCCCCTCTGTGCCCCACCTCGGGGCCCAGGGGCCGGGTCTTGGCACCCTGCAGCTGGAGTGCTGGCATCAGCGACGCATCACACGGCGTACGGGTGGGGGCGCTGGTGATGGAATGCGCCTGGGAGGCTTCAGACCTCGGAGTGATCCTTATCTGATGAGGTTGGTGGCAACGTCCATGACCAACCCACGACTGGAGTTCCGGCGGCTTCAGACCCAGGATGCTTTATCCTACGGTTCTTCATTCAGTTCCCTCACCGTGCACACACGTCGTCATGGGGTTGCGCGCGCAGGCCCTCCTGAAACAGACCGACGACGAGGGAGCCATCCAACGGTGGGGTGGAGGGAGCGGGAAACCCGGGCATCCGACGTCTTTGGATTGTGTTCAATACGGGGCCCCTGAAGTCCCGGCCCTTTCCCCAGGGCCGCTTGTTCATCCCGCCCGGCGAGGGCCCCCAGAGGCCGAAAACGCACAGAAAGCCTTCGCCGTGCTTCTTCCCCGACGCGAGGACGTTTCGGCACCTTGAGATCCGACGTCGCGAGAAACATGCAACCTCGTCTGAAATCGCGACGGGGGCCCTGCCCCGTCTCCCTGCGCCACTCTTCGAGCCGGATCGATATGCGAGGGCCCCGGGGGCCCGAAACAGGGCGAGGACGCCCGGTGCGAGCAGAAGCTGCGGCGCCAGGAGCCTCGGAGTGCGGAAGCCGCCCGAAGCCACCGGCCTCGCCCGCCCCCGCCCGCAGCCCTCCCCAGGCGTACGGTGAAGTCGGGCGTGCCCCTCTACGGGAGGCAGATTCGGAAATAGTCAGCAGATCGTCTGGGGACGATTCCTTCGACTACGTTTGGCTAGCATTTTTGTCCGCTTCCTTTTTCTATTTCGTCGAACATCCGCCTGCGGGGGGACATGCCCGACCTGAGCGTACGGGGATCGCGCGCCCATCGGGCGTCCCGCCGAGCCCCCGCGGGAGAGCCAGCTGCACGCACTGTCGACCCGCTGGCCCTCCTTCTGCGGACCCCCGGAGCACGGGCGGCCCATCGGAGGCACGAGGACCAGATCGCGCTTCGCGCGTCGGTCTACAGGAGACCCCTCGAGTCAGGAACGATCACGACTGGAGGTTTTTCCCTATTTTGGGCCTCCCTGGGCCCTTCCCACGGCCTCGACACCGTCAGAAGACGATCCAGGATGAGGAACCGGTCCCAGAGAAGGGGTCGAGACCCCTG